ACCCACCGGAAGCCGAATCCCCTCCCCTTCTTTTTTACCGCCCCACAGCGTGAGATCTTTGAGTCAAAGCCGGCTGCCCGGGGCCAGCTATGGGTATTTAGTTGTTTTGTAGACATACCTTCAAAGCACGGAGCACACCTGTGAGATGCTTCGTACTTTCATCTTCTGTTAAAGTCAGTGGGAACTGAATTGCTCATCACCCTATGGCAATGCTCAGAACCTACCCGGATTGAGCCCTACACTGTTACTCAGAGAGTATGTCCACATAGCAAAAAAAGACTTGCAGCAGTGAGTCTCAGAACCCAGTTCAACTGACTCAGGCTCGCAGGGCTAAAAATAGCAGTAGACATTCGGACTGGAGCCCAGGTTCTGAGACCATTCCACCACACCGAGTTTCAGAGCCCAGGCTCCCACCTGAGCACAGATGTCTACATTGCTATTTTTAGCTTCACAGCATCAGAGTCAGTTGACCCTGGGTCTGAGACTCAATGCTGTGATTTGTTTGTTTGGGGTGTTTTTGGTGTGTAGATTCAGCCAGAATCAGCCTTGTTGTTAAAAATCTGATCCTGAAAAGTGTTCAGTAAAGCTGGGAATGCAGCAAAAATATATTTGTGAATATGGTTGCAAATCAACTTCCAATTCTTTCGGTTATTCACAATCCCTTCTATTTACTTAGGCTAAGATTCAGCAAAGTACTTAAGTGTGTGCTCAACTTTAAGCATGTGAGTAGTCCCATTGACCTATGCTGGTGCAACTACTACTCATTTTTATTGAGATTTATTTTTCTTTCGTCCTCATTAGCCAACCTCTCCTTCTGACCTATAAAACAATTTCAAAAAGGCTATGGGAGTATTCCTAAGATGAGAATTCTCAGGCATTTTTATTTGTGCTAGAAGCTTTTGGTTTTCCATGAACATTCTTGCAAGTAAATTCTTGTTTACCTAATAATTTTAGAATGATGGGTCAGAAATACCCAGGAAAGTAAACTATCAAGTTGAAATCTCTTTTCTATATTCATCCAACTCAATTCTCCTCTTTCCCTTTGGAGTAGTATAGAATCCTAGAATATCAGGGTTGGAAGGGACCTCAGGAGGTCATCTAGTCCAACCCCCTACTCAAAGCAGGACCAACACCAACTAAATCATCCCAGACAGGGCTTTGTCAAGCCTGACCTTAAAAACCTCTAAGGACGGAGATTCCACCACCTCCCTAGGTAACCCATTCCAGTGCTTCACCACCCTCCTAATGAAATTTTGTTCCCTAATATCCAACCTAAACTTCCCCCACTGCAACTTGAGACCATTATGTTAGAATATTTTTCCCTAGAAGGTGACGTTGGTTTTGTGTATGAGCAGTGCTTGATTTCAATTTAAAATGTTATCTTGTCTGATGTTATTGAGTCTTCTTATAGCTTTAATTTAAAAAAAATCACTCATATTGTGCTATTGTAAATCAATAGCCACTTGAATATTCTACTCATTAACATATTTGAATTACTGGCTCAAATCAAATATTCACTATTCTTTTTAAACTGGGAACCAACCCTATGTTTTGTCTTGTTTCTGCATCTAGTCAATTAGTTTGTAAGTTTAAAAAGTTCAACTTCAAGTCCTTGGGGGCCAAGGTGCTCTGGTCCCGCCCTGAGCAGAACATAGCTTTCCAAAATAAGCCTGCTAACGTCAGAACCTGTCGTTGCTAAGAGAAGGGAGTGAGAATAGCCTGGTAAAAAGCATGCTGTTTCAACAAATCCACTGGAACTGGCAGCCAACCTGGTTAGAGACAATAGAAGCAGTTTCAAGCAATACACAGCAGATTGTTACATCAGCCTGTGTTACTTGAGCTAGCAACAAGTGCAAGGTTATTGAGGAAAATACCAGGAAAATATGATCGTCCTCTAGTTACCACTCCAGAGACTGCAGAATTTAAATGTATTCTATCAGTCACAGAACTAGTAGAGGAGAGAATGACCTACACCAGTACATGAAAGTTCGAGAATTTTTAAGTAGGTTTCTTTATATTACTATCCTAATCAAATGCTCTGATACAACACTTGATCTTAGCCAAAAGGCCGAGAAGCGATGCTACATTACCTCCAAAAAAGTGAACATCATAGTTACAAGCTTCTAATCCTAGCTAGGCATAGGGCTATATTTTATCTATGCTATCATCCAAATGGCACACCCATGTCACAAAACAATCCGCATCCCATGAACTGTACAACTCACAACTAACCAGCAACCTCCCCTAATGAGTGCTGTCTTGCTGTGTCGTATCTCTACAATTTCTGGCATATAGAAAAGCAGGCATCTTGCAGTCTCGCACTGAGTCCATCTGAAAGGCAAAACATCGCTGTGCAGATATCTTTGAAAGGCTGAGAATGGAGCAGAATGCAGACAGCTGTTAGAGACCATAAAATGATTCAAGATGTTGAATGTATGAGTGGGGATTAAGAACCCAACACTTTTTGGCATGTACGCAAGCTCCATATATAAAATGTTAGGTATAATATACATAACAAATGGCAGTGGATTACTGTTCCTTAGTCCCTGCTGGGTCATGAAAGAAGGGAGGAACCATGGCTCCAAAGAGTGAAAGCCTCAAGTGAGTTACAGTATGTAGTCCCTCCTTTCACAAATGAACCACAGAGGATACATGAGCTATTTATCTGCCACCTGTTATGTATATCCCTTATACTGCAGTGATTTTTTTTTTCTAACTGTGTCTGCCTGTTTAAAATTTTATTCAAAGGTATTAGGAGGGAGAGAAAATGTAAAGGACTATGATTGCTTTTGATGGTTTAGGTTTCCTTGCTTCATGAACAGATTGTTTCACTTATTATGTTTTAATTACCTAGGAAACCGCTTCAGGATGAAATTCCATTGGGTTGTTTCTCAGACTGATTGTCAGAGTGGTTGCGTATCGAGCAGCTGAACTGTTTTCTTTTAAATGTGTAAGATGAGAAGAAACTACACTGGACTTAGAGGAGAAGGGTCTTCTTTGTTTTGGGAAGTAAGGACCTGATCCGAAGCCCATTGCTACACTTTGGTGTCTTTCCATTTATATCAATGGGCTTTGGATCAGGCCCCACATTATTGGCCTGATCCTGAGACATAATGAGAATGCACAACTGCCACTGATTTCAGGGAGAGTTGTGTGTGCTCAGTACCTCTCCGGATAATGCTTTTTAAGGTTGTGGGTTATAACTGTAGGGGGCAGGAAACAGTATTGTTTTAAATACTGTGAGGAAGGATTTTTTTAAATAAAAAAAGAGAATATAAAAAAAATGACTGATGGCACAGAGTTTAAGGGCAGAAGACACTACCAGATCATGTAGTCTGATGTCCTGTAGATCACAAGTCACCCACACCATCCAGCACCCACACACTAAACCCAACAACCAAAATTAGACCAGACCACAGGAGACTAGACTATTTTGTGCCACAGGGGGAGAATAGGAGGGATTGAGGTGCACCAGTGGCTGAGGTCCCTGCAATGGCAAGGAAATGATTAAGTGAGATATACCCAGATAATCCTGGCAACTAACCCACACACGGTCACTGCCAATCTGACCTGGGGAATAGTTCCTTCCTGACTCCACATATGGTGATCTGTTAGATCCTGAGGATGTGGGCAAGAACCAGCCAGCCAAGCACCTGAGAGAATGTAATTGTATTCATGCTGCCTGTACTGGAAGAAACAGTATCCATATAATTCAGTTATTTCCAACTACTGTATTAGAGTAGAGAGGGGGGAAGGATGGTCTTGTGCAGAAGGAACATAAATTATATTCCTAGATCTGCCACAGACTTTTTGTGTGACCTATTGCAAGTCAGGATCTGAACTGACTCCCATGGAAGTCAATGGAAAAACTTGGTAGTCAATGATAGCCTTTCCACTGTCTTCAGTGGGAGTTAGATTGGGCCCTTAATTTTTCCAAAATAAACTCTGCTCCCATATACAATGGGGTTACAATGGTTGTAACTAAGGCTTGGTCTACACTAAACCCCCAAATCGAACTAAGGTACGCAACTTCAGCTATGTGAATAACGTAGCTGAAGTCGACGTACCTTAGTTCGAACTTACCGCGGTCCAGACCCGGCAGGCAGGCTCCCCCGTCGACTCCGCGTACTCCTCGCAGCGAGCAGGATTACCGGAGTCGACGGGGAGCACTTCTGAGTTCGATTTATCGCGTCCAGACAAGACGCGATAAATCGAACCCAGAAGTTCGATTGCCTGCCGCCGAACCAGCGCGTAAGTATAGACAAGCCCTAAGAATAGTATTTGACAACTGTGTTTAATTTTCTTGTTTGTAAATTGGGTATAATAACCCACTTGCCTATTGATCAGGATTGTTAAGATAATTTTATTAATATTTGTAAAGTGCTTTGAGGTATTCTGGTAGAAATGTCCATATAAATACAAAGTGCTATTAATTTATTATTATGAGAGCTGGGCAAATAATACAAAAAAAAGACGCAGAGTGTTTAGATGAATTTGCTTCAGCCATGTTTGGGCATCTTTTGCATTCAATTTCAGCAAACATCTGAGCTAGCCTATATATTACAAATATTCAGAGAGCAAATTTCATATTCTCACATACAAGTATTTGCTGAAATTAAATTTAAAATATGTAAGTATTGACGCTAGAAATGTGTGCATGCCTTTCCAATCAGGCAACATACTCTGTGAGCTTATATGAGAGAAGGATTGTCTGGTTGTTAGGGAGCAAGTCTGGGACTCAAGATGGGGATTTAATTCCCTGCTCTGCCGCATACTTCCTGTGTGATCTTGGGCAAGTCATTTAGGCTTGAACCCACAAAAGAGGCACAGGCTTTGATGCTCAGAGTCACAAAATGCCTAACTTTTAGGCACCTAGAAAATCACAGGAACAACACTGCAGTCCACGAAGCTTGAGTTAGGCAGCTACACTCCCTAGAGGATGAATGGGGAGAGACAGGAACATTACAGTGCAATCCACAAAGCCAGCATACTACATGGGGAGCTGCATAAACTAGCCAAGAGGAGATGCTGATGACAGGAGTGTGTGCTAAGCCCTGCCCCTCTCTTGGGGTTTGGTGCCTAAGTCCAAGCTGCAGTGCAGTGCCTATATCTGCCTGTGATTCATAAACTGGGGAAAGATTGGTGTTTGGCTTCCTAAATTGTGTGCAGGGCCCAATCCACAGGTGAGCTCAGAGGACACCTAGCTGCACACAATGTAGCTGGGGGTGGAGGAAGGAGGTATACTTCCCTTATAACATGTAGTCATACGGTTAGGATACTCACCCAGCATTTAGGAGACCCCTATTCAAGACCTCCCTCCATCTGATGAGTAGAAGGGATTTGAACAGGGCTCTGTCACCTGTAAGAGCCCTAAGCACTAGGTTATAGAGTTGTTCTAGTTCTCCCTAGCCCAACTAATAATAAAAATAATAGGAGAAATTGAAGGCAACCCACATATTCCATAGCCTAGAGGTTAGCACACTTGCCTGTTCACATCCCTTCTCCCCCTCAGGCAGAGAGGGACTTGAACCAGATATCTCTCATAATGTAGGTGAGTACCCTAACCACTAGGCCAAAGGCAACAAAGGAAATTAACCACCATCTCTGTTTTGTGTGGAATTAGATGGCCTCTGACTGCACCTACCAGTCAGGCACACATGCAACTTAGGCAGCCAACACCTGTCTTCCCTGGTTTGTGAAGCACTCTGGGGCTTAGTTGAGAAATAGGTGCCCGCATGCCTAGAGAGAGGCAGCAGTGTGCATGTTCAGAGGCAGAAGCACAGGCACGTAGGGAACTTGTACTGAAAATAGTTAGTTGCCAAGCAACTTTAGTTAGATGCCAAGCAACGTAAAGAGTTAGGCAGTGGTTGTAATTATTGCTATGTAAGTTGAGTGTAAACATACTACATATATAAAATATACATCAGTTGTATGAATACAAACATACTTTTCTCATCTAAGCAGCATAATATCATTTCTTTCCAGATAGATCTGTATGTAAGATAGTCAGAATTCAAGGTTTTTTTAATATAATTTCAACTGATATGTTTATTTTTAAACATTTTATTATCAATTTAAATTGTTACACTTGTGTGAAATTATAGAGGGGGGTCAGGCAATAATTATTTAATGACAGTAGTTGTTGAGATTCAAAAAGTTAAAGCTTTATAACTGTAAAAACACAAATTGTGAACATTACTAGTCAAAATATACTAAGTAGATTGCTTTAACTCAAACTCTAAGAAGTTCTCAGGCAGCATTTTTTTTATTTTGTCCCTCTGTAAATTTCAATTATTATCAATGGAAATGTTTTTTCATCGGTTTGTGTGTACAGCAAAATTGGCATTTACTGATACTTACCAATAAAAATCAAATCCTTCTAAACATAGCTATATGTAACTAGCACAGCTGTCACTGAATGTTAACTGTTCTAGATGAAGCAGTGATCTTGTGTACCAACATTTCATGCACATAGAGGTCTAGTCATCCTTAAATGGACATGATGCATAACTGACATGATTATTAACACTGGGAATTACTGATATACACTGAAGGAGGAACAGTCTCTAATGTCTCTAATTCAGACTTGCTAATATATTGAAACAGCATCAGACATTTTTCCAAAAAGAGCATACAATATTGTAATGATCTTTGGTTTCTCCACTGGCTGTGTTGCAGAAAGGTGTGATTTAAGAGAGGCTGGGGGAAATGGAAAGTGAAACAAAGTTCTCTGGAGCAGGGAGGTATGGACATCTCCTGTTGCCAGCTCAAAAGCAGATACAGGCACTGCAAGAAGAGGATTCTAGCTGCATTACAGAATAGGAGTTTGAAGGCAACATGGTCTCTCCTCATTTATTCAGAACTCCTGATGCTACAGTAGCCAACAACAAAAAAACAAACTGAAAATGTAGCTGAAGATGTGCACTGTGCTGATATGAAATCAATACTGCAACATCTTCAAGAGCTGGCATTTAGGTGTTTTGGTTAAAAAAGAGTTCTTATATGTGGCAGGTAGCCAACAATGCCTGGTCAAGCCATTCATAAGTACTCTGGGGAATACTGACATAATAAATAATCATA